GGAAATTAATAAGCTAAAAGTTGACGACAAAATCATCGAAGACCCAGAGGAAATAAGTATTCTTTTCAATGAATACTTCATCAATGTCACAGAGAAGCTGTTAGAAAATCAAATAGTTACTGAAGATAAATTAAAAATAAATAGTGCAATCTGTAAATCAATGTATATGAACTCCACCAATGAAGAAGAAGTAACGTACATTGTTCAAAACTTAAGCAACAAAAAAAGCACGTCAGATGATACTTTAAGTAACAATCTACTTAAAAAAATCATCCCAGAAATTGTCATCCCAATCACTCATATTTACAATCTTTCCATCGTCCAAGGAATATTTCCACAATGCTTCAAAACATCCAGAGTAGTTCCAATTCACAAAAAGGGGAGCAAATTAGAGACAAGTAATTATCGACCAATATCTCTACTTTCTCCACTTTCTAAAGTACTAGAAAAAATAATTTTTGTCAGAGTCACCTCATTTCTCTCCATAAATAAATTATTAAATGATAATCAATATGGCTACAGAGCACAGCATTCAACTGAGCAAGCTGTGCTGCAATTAGCACAAAATGTTATGAATAATCTTAACGAAAAGATACTGACTGTAGGTGTATTCATAGACCTCTCAAAGGCCTTTGACGTCATCAACCACGATATACTGATTAAAAAATTAAATTCACATGGAATAAGAGGAAAAGTAAGTGCATGGTTCAAAAGTTATTTGGAGAACAGAGACCAGTATGTGGTAATAAAAAGTCACTCCTCAACAAAACTTAACGTAAGATCAGGCGTGCCACAAGGATCAATTTTAGGTCCTCTTCTATTCATAATCTTCATGAACGATTTTCAACATGCAACTGATGCAAATCACCTTCTATATGCAGATGACACTAACATCTTCTTCCCAACTAAAGACCCATTGAAAGAAGTAGAATACATCAATAACAGTCTTCAAAATATATCAACCTGGTTTATCAAAAATAAATTAATAGTAAATTATTCTAAATGTAATTACATTATTTTTGGTCCGAAAATTTTAACAAATATTATACCTAACCTAGACATAAAAATGAACAATATTTCTATTCCTCGCTCAACCAGCACAAAATTCCTTGGAGTAACAATCAAGGACAATCTTTCTTGGGATATTCACATAGATACTATGTCTAAAAGAATATGCAAAACCCTAGGAGTTATAAGCAAAATTAAAAATAAATTAAATAAACCTACTCTAATTGACC